ATAAATGAAACGTAGTGCGACTTTGAAATAACAAAATCTTCAGCAGGAATTATAAACACACATTCACGTATGACAGAAAAAGAAATGAACTACTACTGAGTATTCTCACCAAAAAAGAAAAAAGAAAGGAGAAAAGGCAACTTTAACTTACTTTGGATGTCCAAAAGCAAAATATGTTTAAGCTTAAAAATCAATTAAACTCCCAACACCGACAAAAAATTTCTAATGATGAGTGACCCTCCATGTCCAAAGAAACTTAAATCATGTGTTTACATAATGACAAACACTAGCCTAATTAGCAATGCAAATGGGTTCCATAAAGGAAAGCAAAAGGGGAAACACAATTGGGCAAACTCTTCCTTATTCGGCAACTTTTGAAAGTTTATAGAGAAGAGAAAAACAAAAATAAGGTTTTGATGAAAGGGAAGGGGTCTTTTACTTTTTGTTTGTTTTGATGGGGATGGTTGCAATAGAAACCCCGACCCAAATTGTTTTCTTCTACCACAGGATATTCTATTTAATTTAATAACTCGTGATTTCATCTAAAGAAAAGCTTAATCCTATCAACTGAAATAAATGGGTTTTATGTATAGAAACTCGTATTTAATTTAACTATAAAACCATGAAATTTTATATTTGACATCCTATTTTGAAATTTTGAAATTTTATATTTTATTTATTCCAAACGTAGTCCACATCGCCAAGAAATCTTTAGTAAAACATTTCAAATTGATTTTACGATTATGATGAAACCAACCAAATTTTGTTCTTCGTGGTTTTCCTAAAGAAAAACACATATACATATATATACATCAGACAAGAAAAAGTAATAAAAAGAAAGTACGGCCATTTGATAGAGGCAAAATACAGGAGAGCAACAAAAGAGTCATTGGGCCTGTAATTATTATGCACGTGCAATGGGTTTGGGACCCCGAAACAATAAGTTTGTTGGCATCTAGAAGAAAAGGAAAATACCAATTATCCTCACCTTATTAACTTTTTTTATTTTTTATTTTATTTTTCTCCTAATTTTGATCTATTTACTGTTAAAACTTTTACGTGTTTATATTTAAAATTCCAAAAACAATTCGTGTAAAGAAATGATAAAAGAACTAAATCAGACACTACTCTTTCCATATTGAGCTGAAAAAACAGACTCCAACACGGCCCAGTTTCCCACTTTTTTATCTTTCGGATCCCACAAAGGATTCAACAAATGCTCGGTCATCAATCCTGGCCCGCCAAAAGAACCAG